TCTCCATACAGACGCTTCAGATTCAGCGGAGGAGGAGACAGTTCCCTCATCCCTACACAAACACAAACACACACATGTTAGTTCACAGACAGACTGGCAAACTGAAGCAGACAGACAGGCTGACAGGCAGACTTGTTGTCCTCTAGGTAACCCAGGTGCAGACAGACAGGTACTTCATTGATCCTGTGTGGGAGATTGATTTGCATCGTCAGATGACACTGCACACAGATGATGATATTCAGATGCATTTTTGGTATTTGGTGAGATCCAGCCCTTCTCTCCACATGACCGGGAGCTTCTGCAGGGTTTCCACAAGAACAATTATCCAGCCCAGTGTGATGAAGGCAAGTTATTAATACAGCACATTTCAGGCACACTGGTGAGTCAAAGTGTTTTAAATGGCCACCATAAAGAGAAAAATAAAGGAAAAAACGTAAAAATAATAGATTTTTTAGTATTTTTATTAATTAATTATTTTATTCTTTTAACACATCAATGTTGTCATTGTTAACCAAAACTGAAACTATAGAAAATTATTTTTGGTAATTGAAACAAAGCTGAAAAAAAAACAAAGTTTAAATATTAGATGAAAAATGGCAACAATTTGAAATGTTGAAGTACTAAAATTAATTAAATTAAATTAAAAAAAGATCAATTAAATGACACGTACACAATAAAATTACTAAAACTCATAGCAAAATTAAAATGAAAAGTGAAAATATAAAAATGAAGCCAACTCAAAATATTAATAAATATTAGCAAAATAAACAGTGTTTATTAATATTATTCATTAGAATCTATTTAGGCAGCCATTCCAACTTAAAAAGGGATTCAAATGGATAAAATGTTCATAAAGTATGTTTACCTAACTGTAAACGAGCACATATCATAGACATTGGTTATTTTATATAAAGATGACTACAGTCTAACCTAGGGCTGAACGATTAATTGCATTTGTGATAATATCAATCGTTCAGCCCTAGTCTAACCCAAACACTGAGAGAACATTTTTAGAGGAAAAAAAAAAATTACATTTAATCGTGAATCATTTTTCTAAAAGTACAGTCTAACCCAAACCCTGAGAGAAAACGTTTTATGGTATTATAATTTAATTATGAATAATTTTAATCACAGTCTAACCCAAACCCTGAGAGAACATTTAAAAAAAAATATTTAAAAAAAATTTAATTTAAATGTGAATAATTTTTTAAAACTAGTCTAACCCAAACCCTGAGAGAAAACGTTTTATAGAAAAAAATATATATAATTATGAATAATTTTTCTAAACTAACTTTTCCTAATACAGTCTAACCCGGTTCCTGAGAGCAAACTTTTTAAAGAAAAAACAACAACCTTGTTTTTAAACTACAGTCTATCCTAAACCCTGAGAGAAAACTTTTTAGAGAAAACAAAATATATTTTGTTTAATTATGAATCATTTTTCTAAATGAGGACATTCCCTCACAACTTCTCAGGACAATTTGTTTGCAAACTAAAGCTATGCACACACACACACACACACACACACACACACACACTCGTTGTCATTATCGTCGAGCTTTGCACTCTTGAGAGCGACCGAATATCTTCAAGCGACCTTATATTTCATTTCCATAGCAACCACGAGAACACGCCAGCGCACAGCTATTGTAACCTGGACAACACACACACACACACACACAGTCTCAGACAGCGGGTCCGGCCCATAACAGCCGTTAAATGACTCTGTAGCTTAGCGTCACTTGTAAGCGGGATTAGAAACAAAGATCCATTAGCATTTTGAGTAGGTGTACACACAGTGACTCAGCATTAGACATCAAACTCTGCGCTAACCGAGACACAGCCGCCTCTCTCTCTCTCTCTTTCTCTGAGGAACACCGTTAAGACTCTGGAAAGCATCCGAAAGTCTTTCAACTGGATACAACATGAACACCCGCCAAACAGCCAATGAGAGTGAAAGTAAATAAAAACGTAGGTAGCGGCCAGTTGGAACTGCAGCATAAGAAGAAGAGCGTGACCTTCAGTAAATCAGAACTACAGCAGACAACTGAAGAAAAGACCAGAGACTGAGAAAATACAAACTCAACTGCTCTCATTACCATCAGCGAAGCGTCTGTGAGACATAGTTTACTGCGGTAAATACCACGGTATTAATGCTAAAATGTTTATACACCTTGAAATGTTAAATGTTATAATAAGGTTCATAATAAAAAATAAAAATATATGTATTTTAATCAAGACAACTCTCGGAAGATTTTAGCATGGTGATGGATATGACAATGTTAATGTATTTGATCTTGGTGGAACAGATCTGCTACGCTGCTGCTGAATTGCTGCTGCTGTTGGTTGTTGCTGTAGTTGTAGATTATTGCTGCTGCGGCAAGCAAGTACAGGAACTTGCTACTGCCAATGCATATGGCGATACGGTGCCGTGAGTATTTAAGACATGCTGCTGCTGCACAAATAGCATATAACCCGTAGCAGATCTATACAGGTGGAGCTGGGGAAGGTGGAGGGTGTCATAGAAACTGTAAAAGCGCGCTGCAGGAATCTCTAGTGAATGCTAGCCAGCCATATAAATGCAAGACAGTAAGCTCATTGGCTGCATATGCAGCATGAACCAATCAGCGTGTGCCAAGTCATTTAACTCTCTGAATATCATCAGTTACATTAACAAACCGTCAGCCTGCACCATCTAGAGTTTCATGACTGAACTATATATTCAAATAAAATAAAATTAAAACAAAATCAATTAATTTATACAATTTGAAATGTTAAATGTTACTAAAACCTAAAATTAAAATTAAAGAATGAACATATAAAAATAAAAGATAACTCAAAATATTACTAAATACTTTAATAGTATTTATTAATAATGTTTATTACAATTTATTAACAAGTCTCAGACAGCCAGTCCAGCCGTTAAATTGACTATGAAAGTTGAATGTAATTTAAAAATAAATTAAAATGTATAAAAACAGAAAGAAAATGTATTTGTAAGCATCATATAAATGAGCTTCAGTATTCCAGTCTGCTGTAATATGGTAGGTGGAGCTCAGTCACATGACACTGACAGCTCAGGTGATTGGCCGATGAACAGATCTCTCTCCAGGTATATCAGACCTCTGTGGGCATAAAGTTCAATTCAGACCCTTCAAACCGCAGAGCTTTCCTACAGCGGGAGTCTGTCGTAATTCTTCAGGACACACCGGTGGCAGGGGAAAAGGTTTTCTGCAAGTCAGGACGCATTTAAAGATTTACTGAGCTCTGCTTTAATTCCTAATGACACGGCCTCAGAGTTAATGGCAGCAGAGCGGACATTACTATTCATGAGGAATGTTATTATTGAGTTTAGTGTTGGAATAATTAACCTTCAAAGCCATTCGATAATTATATAAAATAAAATAAAAAAGGGTAACTCATATAACTTGAAATATTAAATGTTATAATGTGGTTCATATAAAAAAAATTTTTTAATTAAATAAAAAATAAAATGTCATTTATATAACGAAATGGTAAATGTTATAATATGGCTAATAATTTAAAAAGAAATAATAAACAATAAAATAAAATGTGTTCATTTACATAACTTGAAATGGTAAGTGTTATAATAAGGTTCATAATAAAAAAAATTGTACAACTCAAAACATTAAATGTAATAATATGGTTCATAATAAAAAATAAAATACAATAAAAAAGCACTATAATAATTATAGCATCAGTGTAACCCTACAAACCCATTCGATTGTACAGTAAATACAAATATATTAAATTTAGTATATAAAATAATAAAATGTTAATTTATGTCAATTAACTTGAAATGTTTAATGTTATAATAAGGTTCATAATAAAAAATGAAATAAATATTTACAATTTGAAATGTGAAATGTTATAATATGGTTCATAAAAAATTAATAAAATAATATAAAATGCAATAAAATAGTATACATTAATCAAATTAAATTAAAAAGTTAATTTACTTCCATAGAAAAATTACCACCAGAAGATTAACTAGGAAAAACAAGTTTTTTCCCCCTTTTATTGTGGCTCGGATGTATTTAAAGATTTAGTGAGTTCTGCTTCAGTTCAGTTAATGGCAGCGCAACGGACATTACTATTCATGAGGAATGTTATTTATTTTAGTGTGGTATTATAGCATCAGCGTGACCCTCTGAACCCATTCAATCAAACCATCTACAGTCTATGTGCGATAAAAGAGCAAACGGTGTGACGCAGCGTCTTCAGACAAGCTGGTCTTCCCATTAACAGCTCATTTACTATGAGTCGAAAAGCAGAAAAACAGTGAGCAGGTAGAAAAAGAGAAAAAAAAAGACAAAAACAGACGAGAGAGGGACAGAAGGCCCTCTGTGTGAAGGGTAATTGACACCGTAAGGTGTTTTGAGCACAGAAGAACGTCCTGTAAGAGAGTGTGCATGTGTGAGCCTCGGGGGAGTGTGTGTGTGTGTGTGTGTGTGTGTGTTGTCTCAGACCTCGAGCCTCTGCCGACTCTTCATGAGAAAACTGTGTGTCGGTGTTGTTTACGGGAAAATCTACAGTTCTGATTATCTCCACAGAAGCGAGACGGAAAACCATCAGGAGATCTGCCAGCCTCCATCAGCCACACACACACACACACACACACACACACAACCTGCATTCCCCATCAAACACTGAGTATCAGCCAAGTAGAACTATTAGGAACTCATGCTAACTTATTCTACAACCCAGAGCCAGTTCTTAAAGGAACAGACACTCAAAATTAGATTAGAATTTTTGAATGTTTTTTAAAGAAGTCTCTTCTGCTCACCAAAGCTGCATTTTTTTTTTGACAATTTGAAAAATACAGTAAAAATATTGATATATTTTTAGAATTTAAAATAACTGTTTTCTATGTGAATATATAGTAAAATGTAATTTATTGCTGTGATCAAAGCTCTATTTTCAGCATCATTACTCCAGTCTTCAGTGTCACATGATCTTCAGAAATCATTCTAATATGCTGATTTGCTGCTCAGGAAACATTTCTGTTGAAAACAGTTGTGCTGCTTCATA